GTCTCTCGCGAAGCGGGCACCGTAGACGGCTCGGCCATAGGGCCTCCATCCCGAAAAAGGGTTCGGTCACAATCGGTCTGCGTACGGTCGGGAAGCGTTGCTGCGTTTGTGGCGGCGGCGGCCCCAGCGACAGGCGATGCACCGCTAGCGGATAGCGACTGGTTCCGCTCCGCGCGGCGGGAGGCTGGGAAACAGCTCGGGACGTTGACGCTTGGGGGCCGGGGCGTGGTTAGCGTGTCATGCCGAACTGCGGTTACCAGAACCGGCGGAGGGACGCGCCAAGCACGAGTTCCTGGCCGTACTTGTTGCTTGCTTCCGCGGGGAACATGGCTGAAGTCAGCCTGTGAATCGTGAAAGCAAGCCAGGCGCATGACTTGAACAATCGCTTCCTTGCTCGGGCGAGTCGCGGGTGGACGCCCGCCACATGGAAACACCCCGCGGCGGCGCTGGTGATGAGCGCCGACGCCCGGCCGCCAGCGAGAAGGCGACAGGCGCATCAACGCCTCCGCTACAGCGGGGCGTTCGGGCCACAGTGGTCTCGGATTGGGGCGGGGGGAAAAGTCGGAATGGGGTGGCGGCACGGGTAAGGGCCGTGGCCGACGCCGCCATCGCCCTCCCCGCAGCCGCAATCGGTTCCTTGCTCTCGCAGGCGCCCGGCCGGAGTTTTTTCTGCCACGATGGAAGCGGGCACTGGACCAAGGACTTCCCGCCAAGACGAGCACGTCATCCGTGGTCGTTTTTCAGCCTCGGGGCCGGCCGGAGGCCCTGGGCGGGACCCGCCGACGGCCCGCCGAAGGCCCGAAAACGGCGCAAAACTTTCAGGACCCACTGCCTTCAGGACGCGCGTCCGCCGCCGCGCCCTCCTGCAGATGAGGGCGGGAGATGAACGCTGTAATTAACACAAGCTCCTTGGATAAGTCAAGCTGGCGCCCAGCACCAGCCACGCGCCAGGGGGGGAAACCGCGACGGCGGCCATTCGGGCAAGCGCAGGCCGTGCGAGCAACCGAAGCCGGGGCACCAACGCGACCTCGAGCCTCGAGCGGCGCACGCTTGCAAGCCCAGTGCAACGCCCAAAGCAGCGGGCGGCACGCACCCCGTAGGGCCCTCGAGCGAACGAGGTGGCTTGGCCTTCGGCCAATGCACATGTCCATGCGCGCAGCACTCACGCACCCACTGCGCTGCACTGCGCGGGCGTGCTATTCGGGCCGGGCGAAAGGGGGGGATAGGAAAGGGGGGGTTGAGAATCAGCTCACGTGCCTGATTTTCCTGGCGCCTCCCGGCGCCGGAGGCGGCTATGTATCGAGGAATGGGCCCCTCGGCGGGGCCGAACCCAGCTGCATGTAGCAAATTTCGTAACCCCCCCTTTCACTATCCCCCCCTGCCGCCAGGCCCGAGCTATCCCTCGGAGGCGGCGCGTCGTTCATGCCGCTTGCCCTCATCCGCGGCGCGGTGGCACCCCGAGATCTCCGAGCCATGGCGCGCGCGATTCAACAACTAATTTCGCGGCCCGCGTGGTCTGTTCATCAGCCTCGGGGGGCGGGGAATGGTCATGTATTAATCTCAGGCTGACATTACTGCTAGCGGTGATGCTCCCTCCCCTGCTCCCCGGCGGCGCCTGAAGCACTCAGACTCTGACCAGGCGCAGCTGTGCAAATCGCACAGCGTAGCCTGCGCACTGTGCACAGCGTCTCCCAGAAAGCGCGATCGATCAGTGGTCCGACCATGATCTCTGGATGCCTCGGCAGGCAAAAATCCCAGATCCCCCCAGATCCGCACCACTCGATCGTCCTCTCCTTCCACCCTTTCCCCCCCCTCTCCTCCGCCGCCTCCTTTCTTCCGCATCGGCGTCTACTCCCACTCCTTCTCCTCGTCCTCATTCGTCTTCTTTCCTCTCCCTCATCAACATTATTCCCGTTATCCGCATTATCCTTTTCTTCCCTCTCCTTAGTATTATTAATATTATGTTAACTCTTCTTCTTTGTTCGTATTCGTATTCGCATTCTTCGGATTCTTCATATTATTAGAGCAGTTGTTAGTATTGTTCCTCTTGTGTTCCTGTTCCTGGTTATCCTCATCCAACCCGTTTTCCTTTTCCTCCGCTTCCTCTCCCTTTTTCCCTGCCTGTCGTCCTTCTGCTTCTGGTCGTACTCCCCCGCTTCCTTATCACACTCTGGCCTCTCTTCCTCTTCCTGCTCCCCCTCCTTCCCCTAACCTGCCCAACCCCACCCCTTCAATCCCTCCCCAATGCCTCTCTGCCGCTCCTCTTGATGCTTCTTGTGTCTAGGCCCCCCCCCCGCACCAGCGCTGCAGCGAGGCCGTTCCTGATGGCTCCCTGCACGTCCGCTCGGAGGGAGCACCTCGAGGCCGGTAGGCGGGCGGACGAGGGGGGGGGGAGATGAGGAAGGAGGGAGACGTAAGACTCGGGTAAGGAGGACTCGGGTTGGCCTGACGGAGCCATCATAAAAATGGCGAGACCCAATCTGAAATTCGACGCGGGCTCCCGCTGCAAACGTCCCACGAAAACTGGACCGTCAAAGTCCAGGAGGCGCTCGTCAAAAAACGTCGGCAAACCCGAGTCCGGCTCACCCGAGTCTGACGTCTTACGTCTCCCCGAGAGGAAGGAGGGAGAAGGGAGCAACGGTGGGCATGGAGGCCCCGACCCCCGACGTTGTGGGTCACGGCACGGCCGAACCTCGGAGCTGCACGCGCGCGTGGGGGGGGGGCGTCCACCCTCGATCGGCCTGCGTGCGAGCGGCCCCCCTGCGGGTGCATCCCCGAGCTTCCACTCCTGCCTGGGCGGCCCGATCTTTCGGGGGACGCTCGGGGATCGGGGGAGAACGATTCAGAGGGAGGGCCGCTGGAAGAGAGGAACGGCTTCCGAGAGGAACGGCCGAGGAGGAGGCAGGGCGCCCAATGTGGCAGACGTTCTCCTCCACGCCCGCGAGCTCCAGCAACTCCCGGGCCGCCTCGAACGCCGCGTTGCCCGGCTTGCCGAAATACTGCACCTCGCCTGGCGGTGCCGCGACCGCTGCCGCGGCGCCAGCAGGGGAAAGAGGAGGGGGGCCTCGGGACTCTCCGGCGTGTGAGTTTCAAGGAGTCTCAGCTACAGCCTCGGGGGGGTTGCCGGGGTGGCTCTGCCGGGGAAGGGGGGATGGGGGGGGGGGGGTGCGAGTTTCCGGCGGATGCGGGGGGGCTGCTTTTACAGAAGGCTCTAATCTCGAGGATGCGCTACAAGGGTGGCCGCGGCCGCAAAAGTCTCTTAGGACGGTCTACGAAAGTCCCGAGACCCCGAAAGATCGCCCGAACACGCCCAAGATGGCCCCAAGACGGCCCAAGAGCCTTCCAAGACGTCTGAAGAGGCCTCCAAGAGGCCTCCCACGAGGGCCCCCAGAGGCAAACATCGTTGATTTCCATTTGTTTTTTTCATGTTTTTGGGGTTGTCGCTTTTTTCAGCTTTCCGACGCTCCAAGACGGCCCAAGAGGCCCCCAAGACCGCTCGAAGACGGCCCAGGAGGCCCCCAGACAGTCCCAAGACGGCCCAAGAGGGCCCCAAGGCGGCCCCAAAGCTACCCAAGACGGCCCAAGAGGCCCCCAAGACGGCCCCAAGAGGACCCAAAACAGGGACGAAAAGCGGAAAAAATCTAGCCTTCCAGCCCACGAGGCCCCCAGGAGGCCCCAAGAGCCCCCAAGAGGACCCCCCCAAAGCCCCCAAGAAGCCCCCTCGACGCCCTGACAGGCTCCTGTGCGAGTGTCTGTGTGTGGTGCGTGTCTGCGAATGTCTGTGCGTGCTAGTGTCTGGCGTGCGCCTAGTGTGTCTCTGTATGTGTGTCTGCCGTACGTGCATTTGGTCGTGTGCGTGCGTGAGGTGTCCGCGTAATATGCGTATTTGAGCGACCCGGATCGGCGGCACTGGCCGAAGGCCACTACAACACTGCACCTCGCCTGGCGGTGCCGCGACCGCTGCCGCGGCGCCAGCAGGGGAAAGAGGAGGGGGGCCTCGGGACTCTGGACTCGGCTCAAGGCGGTCACAAGCGACAGCTCGACTCTACAGCCAAGCGGCATCACGAGGCCAAGGAGGTCTCCCAGGGTGCCCAGCGTGCCCCTGCGTCCTTGCCTCCTCGAGCCTTCCTTGGCCTCCTCGGCCCGACCAGCGCTTCTCAGCAAGCCTTCAGCTTGGGCGCTGGCGGCCCCTGCAACCTCACCTCTGCGTCTTCCTGCAGCGTGAAGCCGCAGAGATACAGCTCTGACAAAGCGCCTGGGACGGCCCTTGGGACTGACGTCACAAGCCTACCGCGCCCTCATGGCCTCGCGGAGGCCCTGTTGTCGTCGTCGTCGTCGTCGTCGTCGTCGTCGTCGTCGTCGTCGTCGTCGTCGTCGCCCTTCAGGGTCGGCGGCGCTGGATGCTCTAGCAGAGCGCCTGTGACAGCCCTTGGGTCTGACGTCAGAGGCCCGCCGCGCCCTCATATGTTTCAACGCTTGGTTCAAGCCTGAGCTAACCAGCCTCGAACGTATCCCTATCCCTAAGATGGGCGAGCAACAAGCGAGGACAATCTTAGGGATAGGCCCTCAAAACCTGAGGGAATCCTTAAGATCGGCATCGAGGTGAGGTGATGTCAAACATAGGGATAGGGATATGTTCCAGGCTGGCAATGAGCGCCGCTGTCTCCGACAACGAAGAATCTGAAGGATGGACCGTCCCCAGCCTGCAGCTCTCGCCCAGCGCCCCGTACATTTAGTTTTCAGAGTTCCCAAGCTTCTGCAAGGATGGACGGACATGGAGGCCGAGAAGGAGGAGGAGGAGGAGGAAATGGAGGTGGAGGCGGAGGAGGAGGCGGAGGAGGAGGAGGAGTAGGACGAGGGCCCGTGCTCCCGTTTGGTCTGTAGGCCCGCAGGCCCATATGGGGCTCTCGCTCTTCAAGGGGGGGCTGCCCGCAGCGACAATTGAACTCTCTCGGAGGGACTCCTGCGGAGGGGCTCCTGACTCGGGACTTGGGACGGGAGGGCGTGCGGCAGCATCGCCGGTGCACCTTGGCTTTTGCTCTCCCCTCCCCCCGGCCCCTCCCCCATCGTTTCCTTCCGTTTCTGAACCTCGCGCATCGGACGGGAGGGAGTAATGCAGCATCGCCGATGCACCTTGGTTTTGCTCTCCCCTCCCCCCGCCCCCTCCCCCTCGTGTCCTTCCGTGTCTTAACCTCTTGCAGTTGTTCGATGAGCTGCACCCACTGAGGTGAAGATCAGAAGACAGCGGCTTGCAAGCTATATGAAACGAGATAGAGCGGTGGATAGCGTTGGATGAGCTTTGCAAGCGGATTATGGGTGGAAAACTTCGAGGCCAAACGGGTCGGAAGTGCCATGCGCCTGGCCAGCCTGGCCCCTCCCTGGCGCATGGAGGCGTGGCCGCATTCCGAGGGCTGGCTGGTAAGGTACCTGCACCCTTCTGAGCCCCCCGCCCCTCTACAATTAAGTCGGGCCTGTCCCCCTACAGGGGGATTTTCGAATACAAATACAAAATACCCCCAAAAGAACCAAAACATAATCATTGAATATTATTTGACCATTTTGGGGTATTTGTGGGGTATTTTTTATTGTTAGTCGAAAATCCCCATGTAGGGGGACACGCCCGACTTAACTCTACACGCGGAGGCTGCCTCGCCTCCCCGCCATGCCGAGGCCACGATCCCTGGCGAGAAGACGCGGTGGGCCCGCGCTCCAGGGGCCGCGACCCCTTGGTAAGGAACATGGAGGCCGAGAAGGAGGAGGAGGAGGAGGAAATGGAGGAGGAAGAGGAGGAGGAGGAGGCGGAGGAGGAGGAGGAGGACGAGGAGGAGGAGGCGGAAGAGGAAGAGGAGGAGGAGGAGGCGGAGGAGGAGGAGGAGGAAGCGGAGGAGGAGGAGGAGTAGGAGGAAGGCCCGTGCTCCCGAGCTTCCAGCACGGCCGAGGCAGGCCGCCGATGCCGCCACGAAGGCCTGAGAGACCTCCAAGACGGCCAGAGCCTCACAACAGTCTCCGAGGCCCCCCGAACGTCCCAAGAGGGCGACCGTTAGAGCTCGAGCGGGGCCCGGAGAAGCCGACACCATGGACTTCCCCGTAACACTGTTCAAAGGCGTGGGCGGCTTCGCACCTTTTCGGACTTCCTTCGAATCCACACGGCCCTGGCGGCTCCCAAGGCGGCCCCGAGACAGCCCCAGAGTGTTCCCAGATGGCCAAACTCCAAGCCGGCCTCAAGGCGGCCCAAGAGGGCCCCAAGAGAGCTCCAAGCTGGCCCCAGATGGCCTCCAGAATGATCCATGACGGAGCTAGAGGTGACGGCTCAAGACGACCTGAATAGACGAGTGCGCTCCACTACTTGCAAGGTAACTACTCGCAAATGGCCTGCATCCGCCGCGGGGGATCTACGATAAATCACATCGAAGCAGACATGTGTTTTTCGGACGTTTGCGAGTAGGCACTTTGCGAGTAGTGGAACGCGCTCGGTAACTGACAACATCCCCATGACGGGCGCAAGAGACCCCCCAGACGGTCAACATGGCCCAGAGAAGGCCCCGAAAGCGCCAAGACGGCGCAAGACGGCCGCAAGACGGCCCCGAGTGGCGCACGGGCCCGCCCAAGACTGCCCCCAGAGGAGCGCAAGAAAGGACGGACGAAAGGGAGGACGACGACGTCGAAGACGAGAAGAGACACCACGACACGACGCGAAAAAGGGTGTCACGTTGTACGGGCTCCCCAAGCCTCGAAAAACGCGAGGTGCCGCACGTGACGGCCTCCTCGTGCGGCCCCCGAACAGTCGCCACCCAAGGTGCTGGGCTGCACGGTGGCGGGGCTTGCCGCAGCCAGCTGGACATATAACCCCTCGCCGTCTGACCACCAGATGTGTCGATAGGGCGGGCCGGGCGCTTCGCCTAAAACCCTCCTCCCTTTCTGACCCCGAAGCTGGACTTTACAGCAGTTGCACGGCTCGAAGAAACATCGCTTCCAAAATCTGGTCCTCGCCTTAGCGCTGCGCGAAATCGTGATAAAAGCTTCCAGCAGCTACACGGATAGAGGGGATGGTCTCGAACAGGCGTCTGTTTCCTCAGCAACGCGCACTTCTTCTACAGGTTCCAACAGTTTCACGGACGGGGGCGTTGTTGTTCAAGCGTGATGCTCTTGTCTCAGCGCCGCGCACATACCTTCTAAGAGCTTCACCTGTTACACTGATGGAGGGCCGTTCCATTTCGAAATGAGGCTCTCGCCTTCGAGTCACTCGCATTCGTACTAACACCTTTCAACAGTTACACGGGTGGAGCGCGGCCCTTGTTCAACAGTGGCTCTTGCCTTAGCGACGCGCGCATTCGCCGTAACAGTTATTGGCATTTGTGCGGATGGAGGGCGATTCCTCTTCAAACTATACCTGCACATGGAGGCGTCTTCCTTCTGTTAGCGTCGGCAAGATCAAACTGTGTAACAGCCACCAGGCTGGAAGGAGCCGCCGTTTCAAATTGGAGCTCTCGCTAGAGACTTCATTCGGCTTTACTTAGAATGTTCATGAACGGATTCAGGACGGCGCTCGTCGTTCATGGGGCCATTCTCGCAAGGAAAAAGAATTCGTAGAAAAACATTTGGTGAGGGGGGCATTTGACGGGAAGGTGCAACATTGACTGATCGATGATGGATCCCTCCTCCTCCCTCCACCCCCTCTCCTCCTCCCACCCCTCGCTCCTGCCCGCCCTCCGTCTACTCCTCGCCCGTCCCGCTCATCACCCGTCCCCCCTCTCCTGGCAGGAACGGAGGAAGAGGAGGAGGGACCCCCCGCTGCTGGCTGCCCCCTTGCCCCCGCTGGCCGCCAAGGGTCTCGTACTCTTTGGCAAGGGACCCGTCCATGTGGGCGGTCCAGCCCTGCCGCTGGCGCAGAAAGAGGCGAGGGGTAGGAGGAATCGGGACCAGTAACCATAACTATGTCCACATTAGGAAGCAGCTCCTGGAAAGCATTCGTGAGAAAGACTGAAGGCGATTAAGCCCTGGAGCAGGCTGGATGGGGCCATATTGAACAGGACCGGGCCGGATTGGCCGGGATCATGCTGGTTTCCGACAGGGGGTGCACCAGGGCCGATGATGATGACTGAAACCTCGCAGGAGTGGCATCTTAATCCACGCCCTTGCAGTCTGGACTCATCGGCCGCGGCCCCGCGGAAACGGGGCGGCTTTGCCCAGCTGCCCCGCGCGTGGCGTTCCCATGAGATCGCGTATCCATGGGGCCGTGCCCTGGTGTCTGGACTGCGAAGGCATGGATATGGATACCTTCGGCGCTGGTGATGGGGGAGGGGTATGAGGAGGAAGAGCGACACGATGATGATCATGCTGATGATGATGTTGATGTTGATGTTGATGTTGATGGTGATGGTGATGGTGATGATGATGATGATGATGATAATGATGATGATGATGATGATGATGATGATGATGATGATGATGATGATGATGATGATGATTATGATGATGTTGCTGCTGCGGATGAAGATGAACAGCACAGTACGGTCATCGCGCTACCATTACGAACGGCGAGTAAGGAGTGGACGGGCTTTTGCACCCATCCCGTCTTCGACGGGCAGATGACAACTGCTAGACGATTTGGTGAATCTTCAACCTCCTCCTCGTCCTCCTCCCTCGACGTCTCCTCCACCCCCTCCTCCCCAGAACTCCGACGCCGTGCTTCTTGTTCACAACGTGGACCCCTGGAGGTCTGGATCCCTTCCCTAGGGAGCCCACAAAGGACGTATGCGCCCAACTATGCACATGAACACGGCCCCTCTATCCGCGAGACGGGCCGCGTACTACGGACATTCGCGCAATGCGCACTCTCGAAACCAGCGTGACATCGTGTACGTGTACGTCCTCCTTACGCTCCTGATTCCCCGGGACCCGTGTTTCATCCCGACCTGTTCTTTGTGAAGGGGCCCTGGGACACACAAACAAATACACACAAACAAGAAGATTCCCCATATGTTCCCATATGTTCTGGGTTTCTGTCTCCCCCCCCACTGCCCATATTTTCCCATATTTTCTGGGGAATCGAGGATTCGTTGTGTCTGTGTGCTTTTTCTCCTCCTGTTCTTCGACAGCCCTAGAACCCCGGGAGGGCCCCGGGAGGCCGCAGCGGGTCCCCCGCAAAGCCCCTGCCGCGCTGCTCTTCTTTTTTTTCGCCGCGAGAGGAGGCGCGGGTCGCCCGCTCCAGCCCCTCCGCGCGTCGTCCGCCCTCTCGGGTCTGGTTGGAAGGGGCCCTGGGACACACAGATGAATCCATACAGATAACAGGACTCCCCATATTGTTTTCCATGCGTTCTGGGTTTTGTCTTTCCCCACTTCCCATACTTTCTGGGGAATGGACGATTCATTGTGTCTGTGTGCATGTTTCCCTCCTGATGGTTCTCCCCAACATGAAGACTTCGGCCTGCCCTGGCCAGAGCCGTCGGCGGCGAGCGGCGAAGGGCAGAAGTCACAATGGGGCGGACCTTTGTTTCAGACGGCTCGGGAGCCCCCCAGCCTTCTGAGCAGCTTCCTATGAATGGGGCCCCAGGACACACGGACACATAAATAAATACACACAAATAAAAGCATCCCCCATACTTTCTCATATTTGGGAGGTTTTCGTCTTCCCCCCCACTTCCCATATTTTCTAATATGTTCTGGGGAATCGACGATGCATTGTGTCTGTGTGTTTCTTTCCCTCCTGATCCTAAGCCTTCCCCGAAGACACCGAAAACTTCTCAGGAGGCTGGAGGGCTTCTGAGAAGTGCCGCGATGTTTGTCTGAGAAGGCCCTTTCCTTTTCGCTCCCCCTCCTCGCCTACCTCCGACACATGCTGGATCCAAGGAGCCCTGAACCCAGAAACGTTTTCACCTCTCGAGGGCGCATCGTTTACTTCCCCGCCGACCTCCGCCGGCCTCCTGCCGGCCTCCGCCAGCGCCGGCGGCCTCGTTTTACGTTCGCGGGCTTCTGCCGCCCTTTCCGCCGCTTCCCGTCGCGGAGAAGAAGTACCTCCGCCTTCTGAGAAGGCCTTCTCCTTCTCATCTTCCCCCTCTCGCTCGCCGCCGAAGCAGGTCCAGGCATGTCACGGCGGCTGGGCGATTGCCCTCTGCTCGGCCCACTCCTTCTCCTCCTCTTCCTCCTCCTCCCCCTCCTGATAATCCTCCTCCTCCTCCTGCTTGAATCTCCTGCCCCGGCACGTGCCCATCTTTGGGACAAGTGTCGACTGGGATCAGGCGTGCCGGCCGCATGTCCACACAAGAATACACGGGGGGTGTACCTCTCCAGGGGATTTTCTCGGTGCCACGGTGGATGGCGACATTCCGCTGGGGCACCCGCGACAGGAACTAACAGGGAGGAGGGAGCACGAGGGAACCAAAGTGAGGGACCCTGGAACACACAAGTAAATACACACATATAAGAGGATTCCCAATATTTTCTCATATTTTCCAAGCTTTCGTCTTCCCTCCCGCTTCGCATATTTTCCTATATTTTCCTGGGGATCGGCAATTCATTGTGTCTGTGTGTGTTTTTCCCTCCTGACAAAAAGGCGGAGGAGGTGTGCGCGCGGCCGTGGGGCGTGCGCCACCAGGCCCCACCGTTAGCTTCGCGCGTTCCCACCGGAGGCAAAGCACGGAGAAGGAGAGTCAGATGAGAGGATAGTATTAAGTCGGGCCTGTCCCCATACAGGGGGATTTTCGACGAAAAATAACACATACCCCCAAAAGAATCAAAACATAATCAAAAAAAAGTCTGGGGACTATTTTTTTAATATTTGTTGGACCTTCTTCGGGTATGTTGGGGTATTTTTATTTTTCGTCGAAAATCCCCCCGTAGGGGGACACGCCCGACATAAGGATAGTAAAAGATGCCCAATGTATTCTCAGTGGGATCTGTCCTTCCCTTTTAAAGCCTACGTTTCCTGGCAGACTCGGCAGTGGAAACACCCTTTTGCGGCCATGTGCGGACAAGGGCGCTGAGAACGCTTGCAATGAAAATTCCACAACTATTGAGAACTTCCTCCTCCTCCTCCTCCTGCTGCTCCTCCTCCTCCTGTTCCTCCTCCTCCTCTTCCTCCTCCTGTTCTTCCTCCTCCCTTCCTCGTCCTCCTCATGTTCCTCCCTTTCCTCCTCCTCATCCTCCTCTGTTCCTCCTGGGAAGGCTGCCGGGCAAGCACGAGCGCCCGAGGCGTCAGTCCTCCTCCTCCTCCTCCTCCTCCTCCTCCTTTTCTCTTGGGCAAACTCCTCCTCCTCCTCCTCCTCCTCCTCCTCCTCCTTTTCTCTTGGGCAAACTTCTCCTCCTCCTCCTCCTCCTCCTTTTCTCTTGGGCAAACTTCTCCTCCTCCTCCTCCTCCTCCTCCTCCTCCTCTCTCTCGGGCAAGCTGCTGGGCGACCACGGCGCCCGTGGCGTCAGTCCTCCTCCTCCTGCTGCTGCTGCTCCTCCTCCTCCTCCTCGTTTGTTCTTGGGCAAGCTGCTGGGCGAACACGAGCGCCCGTGGCGTCAGTCCTCCTCCTCCCCCTCCTCCTCCTCCTCCTCCTCCTGCTCCTCCTCCTCCTCGTCCTCCTCCCTCCCCCCCTCCTCCTCCTCGCACCGGACGCGCACGCGTGCATGACCTGCTCTGCTCTTGCAGAGAAAAAACGGAGAATGCGGACGTTGATACAAATGTGTGTGTGTGCCTTGCTTGGGATATCATGCGAATCGAATCGAAGAAAACAGTATCTTTCGTGGCATGGACAGGCATGTGTGCCCGCTGGCTGAAGCAGAGAATTGAAATCCATGGGCCACGCAGCTAGATGGGCGACTCCCTCCGCGGAGCATCGCCGCCACCACTTTTCATGATGGTTTCCAGACAATCTTTTTTTGTTGTATAAATTCGGTGGGGCAGATCAGAGCGCGGAGGTGTGTCGAAGTAGCGTTCGACCCACGAAACGCACTGTTTTCTAGCGATGGCAACGAAGCGGGCTGACCACGAACTGTCCCCTGGAACGGCTGATCTCAGAGGCCTCCTGATGGAGCCGAACGGTGCCACACCAGCGCGTCATGACATCCATCATCAAGACGAAAGCCTTGCGATGACACGCGACCCAGTACACATGCGGAGGGCCAACCTTCCATGAGCCAGTACTGGATTAGGATGCCATGGCGCGCATCCTTGGAACACCAGGCGCACCATCGCGTCAGGACATCGGTGGGCCACACCAGCGCGTCAGGACAACCATCATCATGAGGACGTGCCTGCGACAGCACATTCGTGAATGCACATGCGGACGGCCAGTGTCCCATGTGTACCCATCGCTCTGCAACACGAGCGCGCCACTGCATTCATACTCATGATGATGTCCCTGTTACGACGACACAAGCATAACGCTCAATCGTTGGGTCTTGGGCGCACAAGTCGCCCGCGTGCGTTGATACCTTTTGCTTTGGGCAGAGGCCAAGTGGCCACGCGCCTTATGGGGGAAGACGGCGCTTGTAGTTCAGGCGAATTTCTGCTCGAACCACGAGGCGCAGTTTGTCTCGCTGCGTCGCCGGAATGGAGGTGTCCACGAAATCACCCTCATAATGGTTTCCCGTCAAGCAGGCCTTTAAATGGGCCGAACGGTCTTACACAACATGTTGGGGTCCGTGCTGAATGAAGGCTCCATGGTGCCTACCTTCGGCAGCCCAGTGTGTCATGATACCGGTGTGCCACACCAGCGCACCGTGGAACCCATCATCATGAAGATGGTCCTGCGATGACACACGATTGAATAAACATGCGGAAGGCCAGCCTGCCATGACACCAACTTGCCAAACCAGCGCGTCATGACATACATCATTCTCATGATTGGGTAGATGATGATGGTCCTGCAACGAAGCATTACTGATTCACGTGCGCAGCGCCAGCGTTCACGCGCGTCAGGTGGTTCGTCATTCAAGACGATGTCTTGCTTCGACGACACACGCAAAGCATACCATGGAAGCGTCTGGGGCGCATAAGTCGGCAGCGTCCGTTGATACAGTCTGCCTTGGGCAGAGGCCAAGCGGGTCGCGCACGCGTGTGCTCAGAGCCCTCCTCCTCCTCCTCCTCCTCCTCCTTTTCCTCCTCCTCGTCCTCGTCCTCCTCGTCGTCGTCCTCCTCGTCGTCGTCGTCGTCGCCCTCCTCCTCCTCCTCCTTTTATTTCTTCTCCTCGTCCTCGTCCTCCTCCTCGTCGTTCTCCTGGTCGTCGTCGTCCTCCTCCTCCTCACTCCTCACTCCTCCTCACTCCTCCTCCTCCTCCTCCTCACTCCTCCTCCTGCCCTATCCGAGTTCCTTCCGCCGCCGCCCCATGGCCTTGCGGGCCTCCGCGGTGTCGGGGTTCACGCACAGCATCCGCAGCTTGCTGGACACGGCCCTCCTCAGACACGACTTGCGGAGGCTCGGCGCGCGGCAGGCAGCGTGTCGGGGCGACCACCCCCGCCGCTGTCGCCGCTGTCGCCGCCGACGTCGCGGTCGCCGTAGTCTCCTTTGTCGTCGTCGTCGTCGTCGTCGTCGTCGTCGTCGTTGTCGCTGCCTGGGACGGAGGTCGGCACGGGGCTGCGAGGAAGGGGGCGGGGCAGGAGGGGGAAGGGGGAGGGGGGGAAGGGGAGCGAGGGGAGAGAGGAAGGACGAGGATGGGGAGGAGGAGGACGTGCGGAGGAGCATGCAGGGAGAGGCGGAGGTGAAGGATGAGGGGAGGGGCAGACGAAGAAAGGCGTGGGAGGGGACGAGAAGCGTTCCCCCTCCCTCCGCTCCCCTCCTCGCCCTTGCTGCCCAGCCCCCCCCCCCCCCGCCCCCCCATAACTCGCTCCCAGTGCGCATCCTCGCTCACATCGCCTCTCTCTTGTCTCCTCCCCGCGTTCCCCCACTCGCTCACTCGCCCCTCGATCACTCACTCACTCGGCTTTTTATTTACATATATATATCACTCTGTGTTTTTGCTTCTCTTCATCTCTCTCTCTCTCTATGTATATATGTGTGCCCCTCTCTCTCTCTCTCTCCCTCTCTCTCTCTCTCTCTCCTCTTCTCTCTCTCTCTCTCTCTCTCTCTCTCTCTCTCTCTCTCTCTCTCTCTCTCTCTCTATCTCTCTCTCTCTCTCTCTCTCTCTCTCTCTCTCTCTCTCTCTCTCTCATCTCTCTCTCTCTCTCTCTCTCTCTCTCTCTCTCTCTCTCTCTCTCTCTCTCTCTCTCTCTCTCTCTCTCTCTCTCTCTTTCAAGCCTCCCATGTGCTGTGTGCAGTAATACGCTTATCTCTCTCTCTCTCTCTTTATGTATGCCTTCCTCTCTGCATCTCTCTCTCTCTCTCTCCCTCTCTCTCTCTATCCCTCTATCCCTCTCCCTCCCTCTCCCCCTCCCTCCCTCTGTCTATGTCTCTTGCTCTCTCCCTCGCTCGCTTTTTCTCTGTATCTCCCTCTCTCGTGTTAATGTATGTTTCGGTCTCTCTCTCTCTCTCGATCTCTTGGTGTGTATTATGTCTTTCTCTGTATATATGTAGATACATATGTATGTTTCTCCCTCCCCCTCCGTTCACCCATATCGTAGCCTATACTCAGCTGCTCCTTTTCCACATCTGCCATCACATATCATCCGCCTGCTGTGTTCCTGCTCGCCTTTCCCTTAGTATAGTCTCTGTTCTCTCTCTCTCTCTTTCTTTCTCGCTCTCTTCCTCTCTCCCTCTCGCACACACACACACCACTACCGCTTGCGCAGTATCTCCATCATGGTCGATATCGAAATTGCTAACCGCATTCACCTTCTCCCCGTCCTCATCTCATCCTCCCACGCTTCCTTTTATCCACTCCAGCCTCATCGTGCCCTTCAATGTTATATTTCTCTGTTTGCGTCCCATCCTCCTACTCATCCACCTCATCGTCCAACAGCATTGGGCTCCCCGACATCCTGCTACGTAATAGTTATGATCATTGTCCTCAACCGCCCCCAACTATTCCTCCTCGCCCTCTGTGTTTCCAAGCCAGATATGTTTATCCACTCCCTGTCTCTCTCCTCCACGCTCTTCATGTCGTATCCTCTTCCATCCTCTCGACATGATAGCACCTCTTCTCTCCTATCCGATCTCCGCCTCTCGCCACCAGTCGCCATATATCCGCCTCTCTTCCTTAACCCCTTCTGCTACTATGTCATCATCCGTTGCATATATCAAGTCCCCTTCTGCTCTTACCCTCTCTATTCATCTATACTCGTACTGCCTCCTCCTCACCCTTCTCCTCCTTCTCCTCCTGCCCTCCTCTGGACCCTCGAACATTCCTCGCTCCAGCTCTCCCCACCTTCTTGCAACTCTCTCCACATCTCTCCTCCGCCTCCTACTCCTCCCTCCCCCCCTTCAGCATCATCACCCGCCATCCTCTCATCCTCGCTCGGCGGCTGCTGCTGGTACCAGCACTTCTGCTGCAGGCGGGGCTCCTCCGCATGCTCCTCCGTTCCCCCCTCCTTGTCCTCCTCATTCGTTCCTCTACCGCTCTACCGCCCCCCCCCCCCCGTCCCAACATCTTCTTCTCTCCTCTCTCGTGCCGCGTTTCCTCTCCCTCCCTCCTCCTCCTCCTCTCCCCCTCCTCCTCCTCCTCTCGCTGGCCCTCCTCTCGCTCTCATCCCGCCCAGCGCCTCCCGACTCCTTCAACTCCCTCCTCCTCGCTCTCTACACATACGCATCACGAATACAAGCCGGGCTGCTGCAGGAAAGGGACGCAGGATAAGGAACAAAGTCCCTTTCTGGCTCCCCAAAGCGCCTAGGTGAACAAGGAGGGCTACAGGATCAGCCACGGGAGGACCAAAGGAACAACGAGCCCCTTCCGAACCCAAACGGTCCTTCTTTCAACGTCTTGGCTGTACTACTCTCCTCTCTCCCCCTGGCTCTGTCCGGAAGATGTCCGGCCCTCTCGACGTGTGCTTCGTTGAAAAAGGATTTCAGAAAAAGGATCTCATACATTGATTGTTCTAACGGTGTAAAACCCGATGATTCCCGGAGTTTCAATATGGTGATCCCGCTGCAGCGTGGGCGTCGTTTTCGGATCGGCACTGCGCCCTCGTCGTTCAGAATGGTGCTCACTTAGCAGCGCGGGCCATTTTTTGGGATCCGAGTTCCGTTTCATCGTTGTCGCCCCCTCATTTCCCCGTCTGCGCCTGCCCCTGGACCTCCTGCTCCTCCCACTCGTTGCACTCCAACTCCTTCTGCTGCTGTTCGTCGTCATCCTCCTCCTCCTCCTCCTCCTCCTCCTCCTCCTCCTTCTCCTCCTGCTCATTCCTCCTCCATTTCTTCCTGCTCATCCTCCTGCTCATCCGCCACCTCCTCCTCCTCCTCCTCCTCCTCCTCCTCCTCCTCCTCTCCTCCTGTCATCTTCCTCCTCCTTTTCAAGCAATTCCCTTTTGCCGCTGGCGCATAACACGATATGTATATATATATATATATATATATATATGGTCGCACCCCCCCCCAAGATCTACATTTTGATGGGGTCTGAAGATTAAATTCCTCTAAGGAAGCTTTGCGTTGTTTGTGGTGGCAAGTAATGGATGGAGCAGTTCGCCCCTGCGTGATCTGGAACACGTCGCCCCTTGGAACATGTCGTCCCGTATCTGACTGGAACAATTCGCCACCTGGGAGCGGGAGGGCAATGGAGAGCAAAGAAGAGGATGAGGAAGATATGAGTTGAAGACATGAACAGGGCACGAAAATGTAGATCTTGGGGGGGGGTGCGAGCATATATCTATATATATATATACACATAGTACGGGTGGCACAGGTCCGCTATGATAGCATAGAGAGGCATAGGGCGTCGGAGGTGACGCGAGAGCACCTCGCTTGCCCCCTCCCCTCTCCCTCCTCCCGCCTCCCTCCTGCCTCCCCCGAATTATTCGGCGAATCCTCATTCGTCCTCCTGCTCACGCCTCTTTTTTTGTTGGTTGTTTCTCTCTCCCTCTCTATATCCCTCTGTCTCTCAACCACTCCTGTGTATGCGTTGTTTGTTTCCTCCCTCGCTCCGTAGCTATGTATACGCACGTCTGGAGAGATGGGTATGCATATTCACCTCTGCTCTCGCAACATATCATTATACTCCGTCGCCTCCCCCATGAGCTATTCCTACTTCTCATCGCCATCGTCCTACACATTGTCCTCCCCCTCGTCCACATGCCCATCCTCATCACCGTCTTCGCCCACCCCCATGTTAAGCATCTCACCCTCTCACGTCAACCTCCCGCCCCTCTGCCGGCGCGTGCGCGGCGCGGTCAGTCTTGAAGATCGGGTAGAAAGGCGCGTTGTTGCCGTCCCGCTCGAAATTGGTGAGCGTCTCCATGGACGTTCCTGGAGGCGCGGCGGGGATCCGCGAGGCGAGCCTCGCCCCGCCCATGCGACGCCAACGAACTGGGTCTGGCCCGCAAAAACGGACCCGGGCAGGCCGCACCATGCGTGCCCCGACGCGCTCCCCCCCCGGTGCCCAGGAGAGGCTCGGGGACGCGCGAGGCCCGCGCGCTCCCCCGCGCGAGGCGAAGGGCGAGAAGGAGGATGCGGATGAGGAGAAGGAGGAAAAGGATTATGAGGATGAGGAGGAGGAGGAGGAGACGGATAATGAGGATGATGATGATAATGATGATACTGATGATGATGAGGAGGAGGAGAAGGAGGAGGAGGAGGAGGAGGAGGAGAAGGGGGAGACGACGACGACGAGAGCGACAACGGCAGAAAAGAGGAAGAGGAGGGGGGGACGACGACCAGGAGGGTGACATGCATTTTGACGGTGCCTGGCAGGTTGCTCCCAAAGGGTGGCCGCAAGCAAACCTGGACTTAAAGACTGGCCGACCTGCAACACGAGAGTATGGAAACATAACAATCTGCCAGGGAATTATGTCCGTCTGCTGCTGCAGCTCCTCTTCTCTTATTCCCTTCTGCACATCCACGGCACATCCACTGCCTGTGGGACAAGGAGTCTGGCTCGCCCCACAACTCATACAAACCGTCGCTGACGTACCCACTCGCGAACAGCCTGTCTCTCGTCCAACAGGCCCCCGAAACAACTTCGGATAACTAAAACTTTTGCCGCGGAGTGCACGTCTTGGACCGAAAACGCGTCGCGAGGGAAAGGGGAGGATGAGAACGAAGAGGAGGAGGAGGAGGAGGAGGAGGAGGAGGAGAAGGAGGAGCAGAGCAGAGCAAATCCTCGGGGAGTCCCTGTCAAACTACCGACCGCGAAGCTCGAACAAAAAACCGGACTGAACTCTGATATGGTCTCTTCGAAACCCAGAAGTCTCACAGCAAACACTGCACTGGCCGTCGGGCACCCCAATGGGAACGCAGCCCTCAGCGGGGGCCCGAACGTCAGGCGCGACGACCCCTTCCCTTCCCCGGCCCACCAGAGCCCACCCCACGCCTCCCCCTCCCCAGGGTGTCGGTCAGGAGGAGGAGGAGGAGAAGGAGGAGGAGGAGGATGAGGATGAGGATGAGGAGGATGAGGAGGAGGAGGAGGAGGAGGAGGGAGGAGGAGGAGGAGGAGGGAGGAGGAGGAGGAGGAGGAGGAGGAGGAGGAGGAGGAGGAGGAGGAGGAGGAGGAGGAGGAGGAGGAGGAGGAGAGGGAGGATGAGGAGGAGGGGGAAGAGGGATGAGGATGAGGAAGAGGAGGAGAGAGAGCAGAGAGAGCGCACGACACTGAATGCATGTGCTTGCTGAAGGTTGATTGCCCCTGGCAGTTGATTTATTCATACGCGTTCTCGCAACGGGAGCGGCCTTACGCTGCTCGTGAAATGGGGGTTGCCCCTGAGGCCGACAACGATTTTCTGACCCCCGTCGGGTCTGGGATCACCGAAGACTCCGAGGGGGCTGACATCTCCAACCGACATCTCCGGCCGACATCCCCGACCGATGAGCACTATTACAAGGAGGGAAAGGAAGAGGAGAAGGAAGACGAGGAGGAGGGGGTGGAGGAGGAGGAACACGACGAGGACGAAGAGGAGCAAAGGAGGAGGAGGAGGAGGAGGAGGAAGAGGAGGAAGAGGAGGAGGTGGAGGAAGAGGAGGAACTGACTCAGACTCCCTTGCGTCGTGCACAAGTCACGACGGAAAATCTGTGGCTGGTTTCAGCCTCTGGGGGCCTTCGCCCAACCCCAGGACCGTATGACAAGCCGGTTCTGGGGAATGGGTCGAGACTTCAGGGGGTCCACGCCGTGAAAAGATTAGCCGGGCGAAGGACCCACCTATATGCAGTCGTGCATGCCGCAATTGTGAATACCATTCTCGCCGGCGCTCCCTATGTGGCCACGGCGTCCCGCCGGAGCCCGACATGCTCAAGGACACGTTCGTGAAGGTCTTCGCGGGCGCCGACTGACCGAGGAGCAGAAGCAGGAAAGAGCTTTGAGAGCCATGAGGGAGGCTGCCACTGGCGCCTTCGGTGGAGCTCCTATGGGGCCACGATCCTCGTGAGAGGTGTGCCGAAATGGCCCGAAGCCACCATGCAAACCCTGCCACTGGCGCCTTCGGTGGATCTTTTATGGGGCCACGATCCTCGTGAGGGTGTGCCGAAATGGCCCGCGGCCGCCATGCCAACCCTGCCACTGGCGCCTTCGGTGGATCTTTTGTGGAGCAACAATCCTCGTGAGGGGTGTGCCGAAATGGCCCGCGGCCGCCATGCGAACCCGGCCACTGGCGCCTTCGGTGGAGCTCCCTATGGGGCCACGATCCTCGTGAGGGGTGTGCCCACATGGCCCGTGGCCGCCATGCGAACCCTGCCACTGGCGCCTTCGGTGGCGCTCCTACGAGGCCACAACCTCGGATGGGTATGCCGAAATGGCCCGCCATGCCAACCTTCCTATTGGCACCTTCGGTTTCGGGGGCCTTCGGTGGAGCTCCCTATGGGGCCACGATCCTCGTGAGGGGTGTGCCGAAATGGCCCGCGGCCGCCATGCCAACCCTGCCACTGGCGCCTTCGGTGGAGCTCCCTGTGGGGCCACGATCCTCGTGAGAGGTGTGCCGAAATGGCCCGAAGCCACCATGCAAACCCTGCCACTGGCGCCTTCGGTGGATCTTTTATGGGGCCACGATCCTCGTGAGGGTGTGCCGAAATGGCCCGCGGCCGCCATGCCAACCCTGCCACTGGCGCCTTCGGTGGAGCTCCCTATGGGGCAACGATCCTCGTGAAGGGTGTGCCGAAATGGCCCGCGGCCGCCATGCGAACCCGGCCACTGGCGCCTTCGGTGGAGCTCCCTATGGGGCCACGATCCTAGTGAGGGGTGTGCCCAAATGGCCCGTGGCCGCCATGCGAACCCTGCCACTGGCGCCTTCGGTGGCGCTCCTCGAGGCCACAACCTCGGATGGGTATGCCGAAATGGCCCGAAGCCGCCATGCCAACGGTCACTGGGGCCTTCGGTGGAGCTCCCTATGGGGCCACGATCCTCGTGAGGTGTGTGCCGAAATGGCCCGAGGCCGCCATGCGAACCCTGCCACTGGGGCCTTCGGTGCAGCTCCCTATGGGGCCACGATCCTCGTGAGGGGTGTGCCGAAATAGGCCGAGGCTGCCATACGTACCCAGCCACTGGCGCCTTCGGTGGAGCTCCCTATGGGGCCACGATCTCGTGAGGGATGTGCCGAAATGGCCCGAGGCCGCCATGCGAACCCTGCCGCTGGCGCCTTCGGTGGAGCTCCCTGTGAGGCCACGATCCTCGTGAGGGCCATGCGAACCCTGCCACTGGCGCCTTCGGTGGAGCTCCCTATGGGGCCACGATCTCGTGAGGGGTGTGCCGAAATGGCCCGAGGCCGCCATGCGAATCCTGCCGCTGGCGCCTTCGGTGGAGCTCCCTGTGGGGCCACGATCCTCGTGAGGGCCATGCGAACCCTGCCGCTGGGGACCTTCGGTGGAGCTCCTACGAGGCCACAACCTCGGATGGGTATGCCGAAATGGCCCGCCATGCCAACCTTCCTATTGGCACCTTCGGTTTCTGGGGCCTTCGGTGGAGCTCCCTATGGGGCCACGATCCTCGTGAGGGCCATGCCAACCCTGCCACTGGGGACCTTCGGTGGAGCTCCCTGTGGGGCCACGATCCTCGTGAGGGGTGTGCCGAAATGGCCCGAGGCCGCCATACGTACCCAGCCAATGGCGCCTTCGGTGGAGCTCCCTCGACGGACCCGGCGACAAACGTCCGCGGATAGATCCGTAAGGGTTCTGCCACCGCCTGCGCCCTCCCCATCCGTGAACGGAGGCCGTCCCCGTGTTTCCGCTCATCCCTGGCGATGCCCATCTTTACCACTGTCCAGTCGGGCGGCAGGTGGGGGGCGGGCGCACGATTGTCATACAGTTATTGCAACCACCCCGCGGGTCGCGGATAGTTCTGAACCAACCTGAGCTCATCCCATGGGGAGGAGGGGAGGAGGAGGAGGAGGAGGAGGAGGAGGAGGAGGAGGAGGAGGAAAAGGAGGAGGAGGCGGAGGAGGTGGAGGAGGAGGAGGAGGAGGAGGAGGAGGAGGAGGAGGAGGTGAGCTGTTGAACCAACCTTTTCGAGGGGCCTGGTTCTCGGATAGTTTCAGCGACGTGGCGGCAGCATCTTCGCCACATCGCTCCGGGGCTCTGGCCGACGGCTCTGGCCCGCGCCCATCGAGCAAAGACGGCTGCAAGGTGCAGTCAACTCCACTCCACTCCACTCCGCTCCACTCCACTCCACTCCACTCCACTCCACTCCACTCCACTCCACTCCACTCCACTCCACTCTTCTCCACCTCCTTGCTCTCTCTCTCTTCCTCTCGCCCCGTGGCCTCCTCCTTCCTCCGTTCCCCCTCATCCTCCGTCTCCTCCGCGTCGTCCTCCTCCTGCGGAAAAGGCCCGTCACCACGTGCGCCTTTCCACGCCTCCCTTCGGCGCCAATCGGACGGCATTCTGTCAGTGCCCAATCGCCTGGGATGCCAACTCGTTCTGGTTGGCGGGGCCTCAAGCAGGCACACGAGAATGGGGCCGCAGGCCAGAGCTGCAGCAAACTGTACACCGATCGGGCAACCCAGGGAGCGGGGAGAAGAAAGAGAGGGAGGCAGAGGGAGAGGCACAGCCTCCTCGTCGCCTTAGTCGTGCTCGTTTTTGTGACGTTGGCAAAACATTACACCCGAGGAACACCCCAATCAGTGGATAGTTTGAAATTGGTGATAGGGATATGGAAATCCATTGTGGGATCTATAGTGATATCGATGGTGTAACCGATAGTGAGGACGATTGTATGGTCGATCGTGCGACCGATAGTGAAATCGATTCAATGGGATCGATAGGTAGATCGACCGTGAGATAGCTCGTGCGATCGTGCGATCTACAGTGAGACCGACTGCGAGATCGATTGTGTGATCGAAGAGAGATCGATAAATGGGCAATGAGACCGATGGTGAGACCGATCGATAAGACGATCAACCAAGAACCTTGGAAACCGGGAACCCCGCCGCCCACCGAAATCGGCCCGGAAACCGAAACTGGGAACCTGGGAACCTGGCCGCCCACCGAAATCGGCCCAGCCCTTTTGCCAAATCTTTCATTCTTCGCTAGGACCCCTTCAGTGCAATCACTGCTTGGGGATGATGCATCGAGGCTGTTGCGTTCTCCCAGTGGCACAAAAGTAGCCTGACGAGGGACCCAACCATATGCAGGTGCGAGTACCGCAATAGTGATTCACTTTTTCGGTGGCGATCCCTATGAGGCAACGAACCGTGCTAGGGGTGTGCCGACATGAGTGGCGTGGTACACAACGCGAACGAAAACGATTGATCTGAGTACGTAGGGAGACTGAGCGCGGGTGAATCTGCGCGCGTGCGTCTGACTGTGAATGAATCTGCGTGCGAGCGAGTCTACGTGCATGAATGCGAATATGACAAAGCGTGGTGCAATTGTGTATGAATGTCAATAGTTTGACAATGACTGCCTCTGAGTACTCGTGACGCTGGGCGTGGCCGCCGCAAGGAGCTTCCCCGGGACTCCCCGACGGCATCGCCCGCGCGCCGCGACGCCAATGTCGGCGCGCCCCCCCGCGAGGATCGCGCCCGCTTCCTCCCCTTCCTTTACTCCCTCTTTGCCCGCGCACTCAAAAGTCCAAGGCTGCGGGCGCAGCGCAGCGCGGAGTCCCCGCGACGCGCGCAGGTCGCCCCGGAGGGGTCCCAGCGACGCGCGCGGGTCGTCCGCTGCGCGGAGCAAAGAGAGCTAGCTGGCTGGCTGATAGCGGGCAAGGCTCTTGCCGCTGGGCAGAGCGACGACGGGCGAGCGAGGCGCTGGGCAGAACGCAGCACGGAGCCCCCGCGACGCGCGCAGGTCGCCCCGGAGGGGTCCCAGCGACGCGCGCGGGTCGCCCGCTGCGCGGAGCAAAGAGAGCTAGCTGGCTGGCTGGGACCTGCGGTGGGGCTCCATATGTATGGGGCCACGTAACGCTGTACTGGGCAAGGGAGACGCATGCGGACCGCGCCACGGGGACCTTCGGTGGAGTTCCCTATGGGGCCACGAAGCGTGTGAGGGGTGGGCCGACATGAGTGGCGGGGGCGCATGCGGACTGTGCCACTGGGACCTTCGGCGGAGCTCCTATGGGGCCACGAAGCGTGTGAGGGGTGTGCCGAAATGAATGGCGGGGACGCATGCGGACTGCGCCACGGGGACCGTCGGTGGAGTTCTTATGGGGCCACGAAACGTGTGAGGGGTGTGCCGAAATGAATGGCGGGGGCGCGTGCGGACTGTGCCACTGGGACCTTCGGCGGAGCTCCTGTGTGGCCACGAAACGTGTGAGGGGTGTGCCGACATGAATGGCGGGAACGCATGCGGACTGTGCCACGGGGACCTTCGGCGGAGCTCTTATGGGGCCACGAAACGTGTTAGGGGTGTGCTGAAAGTAGTGGCGGGGACGCATGCGGACTGTGCCACCGGGACCTTCGGTGGAGCTCCCTATGGGGCCACGAAACGTGTGAGGGGTGGGCCGACATGAATGGCGGAGGCGCGTGCGGACTGTGCCACTGGGACCTTCGGCAGAGCTCCTATGGGGCCACGAAACGTGCGAGGGGTGTGCCGAAATGAGCGGCGGGAGCGCATGCGGATTGTGCCAGTGGGACCTTCGGCGGAGCTCCTGAGGGGCCACGAAACGTGTGAGGGGTGTGCCGACATGAGTGGCGGGGACGCATGCGGACTGCGCCACTGGAACCTTCGGCGGAGCCCCTTATGGGGCCACGAAACGTGTGAGGGGTGGGCCGAAATGAATGGCGGGGGCGCGTGCGGACTGTGCCACTGGGACCTTCGGCAGAGCTCCTATGGGGCCACGAAACGTGTGAGGGGTGTCCCGAAATTGGCGTGCGGGACGCATGCGGGCACACCCACAAGGACCTTCGGTGGAGCTCCCTATGGGGCCACGAAGCGTGTGAGGGGTGGGCCGAAATGCGTGTGCGGGACGCATGCGGGCACACCCACTGGGACCTTCGGTGGAGCTCCCTATGGGGCCACAAAACGTATGAAGGGTGTGCCGACATGGGTGTGCGGGACGCATGCGGGCACACCCACTGGGACCTTCGGTGGAGCTCCCTATGGGGCCACGGAACGTGTGAGGGGTGTGCCGAAATGGGTGTGCGGGACGCATGCGGGCACACCCACTGGGACCTTCGGTGGAGCTCCCTATGGGGCCACGAAGCGTGTGAGGGATGTGCCGAAATGGGAGTGCGGGACGCATTCGGGCACACCCACTGGGACCTCCGGTGGGCTCCTATGGGGCCACGAACGTGTGAGGGATGTGCCGACATGGGTGTGCGGGACGCATGCGGGCACACCCACTGGGACCTTCGGTGGAGCTCCCTATGGGGCCACGAAACGTGTGAAGGGTGTACCGAAATGGGTGTGCGGGACGCATGCGGGCACACCCACTGGGACATTCGGTGGAGCTCCCTATGGGGCCACGAAACGTATGAAGGGTGTGCCGACATGGGTGTGCGTGACGCATGCGGGCACACCCACTGGGACCTTCGGTGGAGCTCCCTATGGGGCCACGAAACGTGTGAGGGGTGGGCCGAAATGTGCGTGCGGGACGGATGCGGGCACACCCACTGGGACCTTCGGTGGAGCTCCCTATGGGGCCACGAAACGTGTGAGGGGTGTGCCGAAATGGGTGGTTCGGTGGAGCTCCCTATGGGGCCACGAAACGTATGAGGGGTGTGCCGAAATGGGTGTGCGGGACGCATGCGGGCACACCCACTGGGACCTTCGGTGGAGCTCCCTATGGGGCCACGAAACGTGTGAGGGGTGGGCCGAAATGGGTGTGCGGGACGCGTGCGGGCACACCCACTGAGACCTTCGGTGGAGCTCCCTATGGGGCCACGAAGCGTGTGAGGGGTGTGTGTGTGCGGGACGCATGCGGGCACACCCACTGGGACCTTCGGTGGAGCTCCTTATGGGGCCACGAAGCGTGTGAAGGGTGTGCCAAAATGGGGGCCAGGAGGAGGAGGAGGAGGAGGAGGAGAGGAGGAGGAGAGGAGAGGAGGAGGAGGAGGAGAGGAGGAGACGCGGGCCACCGTCTCTTCAAAACGAGGACCCAACACCACAGGATGGTTGGGAAATAAGGACTCCGACTCAGCGAAGCGCGAACACAAATCAAAGGCAGCTGCCTCGTGCTCGTCCTCCTTCTCCTCCTGGCATCCGAGGCGGCCAAGCGCTGGTCGACCCTCCCCCGCCCACCCTGCAGGGGAGCTCCAGCGAAGAAGCTCTGCACGCCGGACACCAGCAGGAAGTCCGCGCGGTCCTCGGTTCCGCCTTCGCCGCCTGGCCGCCAGGGGGGGGGCTGTACGGCCCTCTGCCTGGCTCTCCCCGCTTCGTCTTCGTGGTCGTCGCCGTCGTCCCTCTTCGCTTCCGCGTCCTCCGCCGTCCTCCTCGTCTTCTAAGAAGTCGAGAAGCTTCATAAAGGACAGGGGGCTTCTAAGAAGACGAGGGGCTTCTTAGAGTGCAGGAGCCTCCTTGTGAAAAAAGGCCCGTCGGTTTCCTAGAAGGCTCCTTAGCAATGGGAGGGCTTATGAAAAATATCTGCCTTCTTAGACGATCGCCCCTCTCGCGGCACCCCGTGCGCACGCCGGCAATCCTCCTCCTCCGGCTCATCCACCTCCTCCTCCTCCTCCGCGTCGGCGCCCCCCTCCTCGTCCTCCTTGACATTATCCGCACTCATCGCCCTCCTGAACCAAGGGCCATCTTTGCCGTGCAGCGCACGAAGTTGTAGCCCAGTGCCCGCCCGACCGATCTGCGCGAGCGCTAGTTCCGCGACCCCGCTAAGTGTGTGTGTGTGTGTGTGTGTGTGTGCGCGTGTGTGTGTGTGTGCGCGTGTGTGTGTGCGCGCGTGTGTGTGTGTGTGTTGTGTGTGTGTGTTGTGTGTGTTGTGTGTGTTGTGTGTGTTGTGTGTGTGTTGTGTGTTGTGTGTTGTGCGTGTTGTGTGTGTGTTGTGTGTTGTGTGTGTTGTGTGTGTGTGTGCGTGTGTGTGCGTGCGTGTGTGTGTGTGCGTGTGTGCGTGCGTGTGTGTGTGTGTGTGCGTGCGTGTGTGTATGTGCGTGCGTGTGTGTATGTGGTAGGCGAGTGTGCGTGTGTGTGTGTATGTGCCTGCTTTGGGGGGGGACCCCGTCGGCGTCGAAGCCGGCACACTGAGAGCGCTGAAGAAGGCCCCTTTTGCTGCCTCGGCCCGTCCCTGCCGCACCGCGCCCCTTTGTCCTCGTTCCCCCTCTTTCCCCTCCTTTCCCCGCGTTTTTCCCCCTGGCTCGGCGGTGGACAAACCTCCCTTTAGTAAACCTCCCTTTAGTGAAAGCGGCCTGGGACCGAAATCGACGGACCTAGACCCGCAAAAATGACGGCCGCGACGCCCCCTCGCGAACCGAAAACGGCCAATTCCTCAATCGACGCGTCAGGGTAGGAGGTCTGTCCACCCCCGACTGGCAGCCCCCCCCCCCAGCCCTGAGTGTTGCTGTCGACCCCCAGCATTGGTGTCCACGCCACATGAGTTGGGCTGGACCGCGCGCTCGGACCTGACCCACGCCGCGCCGCCTCGCGCGTGGGCGCGACACCACAGAGTGGGTGGGGGCCTACAAGGCAGGTTTTAATACATCGGATTTTTATATATAAGAATTTGAATACATGATTAATTCATGAACAAATTAATGCATCAACTCATCCTTGCATTGATTAATCAACTTTTTATTTCTAATACATGGTCCGCACGCGGAGCATGTATTCAAATTGGGGCTGTTCTGTTTCATCCGAAGCTGTTTCATCTGGACGAATCCATCCGACACCATCTATCCAGACGGATTCGTCTGGACAGCTTCTTCAGGACGAGGTCCTCCGAAGACGGCTTCATCCGAAGACGACCTCCTCCAGAGACGAGATCACACGCAGACAGGTTCGTCCGACGATGATCTCGACAACTTCATCCGGACAAGTTCGTGCAGAAAAACATTCTTCTAGATGAGCCTGAAGCGGACGATATCGTTTAGGATGAATTGATCGCCCTCGGGAGGAGGAGGAGGAGGAGGAGGAGGAGGAGGAGGCCGCCCGCAGGCGCCGAAGAAGGCACACTGAGAGCGCCGAAAAATGCCCATCGCTTCTGGAGGGGCCGACCAGGGGCCTCCTCGTCTCGGGAGGAGCCGGGAGGATCGAGGACTCTCGTCGGATCTCGGCGGTGCTCCAGCCTCGGGATGCTCTCCGGCAGCTGCGCCCCGCCGAGAGGTCTCCCGGGTTACCCGGGTCGTCCCGAACGGCCGCCAGAGGCCAGACCTGTGGCCCGAGGATCGCCCCTGCCGCCAGTGGCCGCTGTGCCCGTGGCCCCGACAGCATCCGGCAGTCTTCGCCCGCGGGTCTGCCCGGCTTGGCCGCGCGGCCCAGTCTGCTGGAGGGCGAAGCTCGTGGCGGGGCTCGCGGCACGCGGGCTCGGCCGCGTCCCACCCGCTGCTGCCAGCGCGGCAGCACACACACACACACACACACACACACACACACACACACACACACACACACACACACACACACACACACACACACACACACACACACACACACAGCAGCGGTGCTCTGCGCTGGACCGCCAGCGCGTGCAGCTGCTGCGCTCTTTCGCACGGTGCAGTGGCAGTGGGCTCCGTCGCTGCAGGGCTGGTCGGGCGTTGGCAGAACTGGGTCTAGCGGGACCTGGCTTAGTGATGTGTACTGGGGGGCGCCCCACCCCAGGCCCTGTTCCGGTGACCGGACCTGCCGCCACCCGAAAAACACCAGCTACGGCAAACCCGGTGTAGTGCATCTGGCCAATCGCGGGGCCCCAGGGCCCTACCCCCAGATCCCCGACGTCATGATTTTTTCATGACGTCGGCCACCCGAGGTCTCGACCCATTCCCTGGGATCGGTTTTTCGTCCTGAGTCGTTTTTCGACGGTCCCGAGGGCCGGTAAGGGCCCCCAGAGGCCAAAAATAAGGAAAACCCTCCCGTCGTGATTTTTTCATAACTCGAGGGGTTCTGGGCCACTAGCCGGGTCCCCTTACCCGGGGTCCTGGGAGGAGGAGGAGGAGGAGGAGGAGGAGGAGGAGGAGGAGGAGGAGGAGGAGGAGGAGGGGAGAGGAGGAGGGAGGAGGAGGGAGGATGAGGGAGGAGGAGGAGGAGGAGGAGGAGGAGGAGGAGGAGGAGGAGGAGGAGGGGGGCCCCAGGGCCCTACCACTATAGCCGGGTCCCCTCACCCCGGGGCCCTGGCTGTCCCCGAGCTGGGCCCGTGCTGGGCGTGCCGCGCTGGAGGGGGCCACGGCCGGCGCCGCCCCGCCCACGGGCCACGGAGCCCGCGGGGAAGCGGCACCGCCTCGCCCTCGCCTCCGGCAGCAGCAGGGCGAAGGTCCCGCGGCCGGAGCCCTCCCCCTCCTCCATCTCCTCCTCCTCCTCCTCCTCCTCCTCCTCCTCCTCCTCCACCTCCTGCCTGTTTCTGCGTTTCTCGCTCAGCCAGCGTCTTACCTCCACCTCCTCCTCTCCACCTCCTCCTCCTCCTCTTCCTCCTCCTCCTCCTCCGCCTCCGCCTCCTCCTCCTCCTCCTCCTCCTCCTCCTCCTCCTCCTCCTCCTCCTCCTCCTCCTCGCCCTGGCGGCGCGAGGCTGCACTGGCGCGACGTCCCCCACCCCCCCGGATCTTCCAGCCTGAAACAGGTGCCTATCCCTATGCTGGGCATTTCCTCATCACGATGCAATCTTAGGGGTTCCCTTCTTTTTTGAGGGCGGATCCCTGAGATTGCCATCGCCTTTTGGCGTGTCAATCTTAAGGATAGGGATAAGTTCGAGGCTGGTAATCGATGGTCAGCGGGGCTCGGGTGCTGCCAGAAGTGCCCCTGGCCCAAAGTGCCCCCAGCGAGTCACTCCACTTTGGAGCCCCCTGGGGCCCTCTGGGCCTCGCGAGGGGTGCCCTCGAGGCCACCCGGGCCACCCCCAGAATCCTGGGGGCACCTTGGGCCAGGGGTGCTACTGGCAACACCTGAGGGGTGAGCGGTTGGAGGGGCGAAGAGCGGTATCATCCTTTGCTCTCGGAGGCGCGGACCTCTCGGGGCGGCGCTGAGCCCCCGATCCCTGGCGCCAGGGGCGGCGCTGGAGGCGCCCCGCCAGGGGGGCCCCCCGCCGACCCCGGAGATCCGCGCGGACCTCCGAGGGCAGGGTTCGCTCGGCCAGCTCAGAGAACAAAAACGTGTCGGCCTCTCGTAGCCTGGCACTCCACACGGTTTTGATGGCAACTCTGGCTCCAAACGCGAGCCCAACTAACGGTATGAGACACATCGGCCATCGTGGTGGAAGCTTCGTTGGATGAAAATTGCCCGCTTCCCAACTGCTGGGAAGGGGATTCCACCATGCTAGAACTAGCTGCGGCTGAAGGGGCACGGCGGACGGTGACATCCTGACTTGAAAAGGCCCGCAAGGGGGACGACATCGTGCTACTATACAATCAAAACAGGACGCTGTCCAGATCACAGCGCCCTCGCCCAAACGGCCAAATCCAGAGCTAAGTCTCGCCATGCCTCCCGATCTTGTACTTCCTGCTTCCATGGTGCACGTCCCCATTGCGTACCACACCGTCTGAGCACGTGCTTCAAACTTCGGCTGCATTCTCTCCTCGACGGCTGAAGAGGAGCAGGAGCAGGAGCAGGAGCAGGAGGAGGAGGAGGAGGAGGGGCAGGAGAAGGAGAGGAGGAGGAGGAGCAGAAGGAGGAGGAACAGGAGGAGGAGCAGGAGCAGGAGGAGGAGGAGGAGCAGGAGGAGGAAGCAGGAGGAGGAGGAGGAGGAGCAGCAGGAGGAGGAAGCAGGAGGGAGGAGGAGGAGGAGGAGGGGCATCCCGCGTCCTGGGGGCGGGCGGACCTTGTCTCGCCGCCTGGGCTGCGCTGGCCGCGCCGCCCGCGGCCGTGCCGCACCCCAGAGTCTCCGGCAGAGGCGTGGCCGCGGCGGCGATGGGTGCACCATGCGGCGCAGGAGGAGGAGCGCACTCCCCTGCCCATGGGCTGCGGATGGCCCTCATCGTCAGCACCGCTGTCGTCGTCAACATCAACACTGTCCTCCTCCCCTCCTCTCCCTCCTCCTCCATTCCTCCTCCCCCTCCTCCTGCCCCTCCTCCTCCTCCTCCTCCTCCTCCTCCTCCTCGCGCTCCCCATCACCATGCGTCGTCAAACCGGCCCGATCAAGGCCCCGCCTTTGTCGAGCCACGCGGCAAGCCGATCTTGGTCCTCTCGCGCCTTGGAGACGTCGTTGAGCACCGTGAGGTACGGGTCCGGCAGGCCACGGGGCTTCCTGTGAGGCAGGCGTCAGCTTCTTCCCCCTCAACTCTGTTCTCCCTCTTCATTTTGTTCCCCCTGCCCACTCCCTTTGCTCCTGTTGCTCCTCCTTCCTCCTCCTCGTCCGCCTCTTCCTTTTCCTCCTCCTCCTCCTCCTCCTCGGCCACCGCTCTCCTGCAAGATCACAGACACCTGCATCACCATCGCCACGCGCCACCCGCCCCCAACCGCCACCATCCGCGGCCAACCACTGGCGGCGCGCGCAAAAGGAACTCTGACAGGGCGGGGGGGGCTTCTGAGAAGGCAAGGGACCTCGAAGCATTATCAGAAGCCTTGGGGCTCTTCTAAGACGCCCCTGGCCTATCCTTAGGAAAAGCTGCCCCCGCCCCGCTTAGCCCTTCAGCGCGCTGCCAGTACCACCCACCGCCACCACCTCCATCCACCACCACTCATTCTTCCACCAACCACCAGAACCCTGCCACTGACGACGGAGCTCATCGTGATGATACACAGATGGCGACAACGGCAACGACGACGACGACGATGTCGACGACAGCGACGATGGCAGCGACGCTGTTCGCCACGTATTCGACGAACTCCCAACCCTACCCACGCCGCCCATCGAGATGCCTGAATCGTTGATCGGCGAGGGTAGGGTGAGGATTTCGCCGCCGATGACAGCTACGATTCTCTCTGCCTCTCTGTACTCCCCTGCTCTCTCTGCCTACCGGCAGATACAGAAAACAAAAAACGATCGGCCAACCCGCCGCCCGCTCCCGTGCACCTCCCTGCTGGATCTCCCGCGGGTGCGAGCGTGCTCTCTTCCTCCGATCACCGATTTCCTTCTTTTGCGACGGGCTATACACGTGCGCCGGCCGAAGATCCGGCCGCTTGGCATCACAGTGAAGATGCACCGGTCGAATTTTTTGGGGAACGCGCCGATTTCGGCAACATCCCCAGACATCCGACGTCTCGATTTTTTCGAGTCGCGGGTCCCCGAATTCCCGACCACTTCCCCGGGACCCGTTTGCCGTCCCGAGCCGTTTTCGGACGGTCCCGAGGCCCGGCGAGGGCCCCGAGAGGCCGCAAACGACGAAAAACCTCCGCCTCGATTTTTTTCGAGACGCCCGATGCCTGGGTGGAGGGGCCCTGGAAGGGCCCCGCAGCCCCGGTCTCCCCGCGCTCGCCCCCGCATGGGGCCCCGCAGCCGGCGTCGAGGACGTGTTAGGCCCGCCGCGCGCCCAGCCTGCCCTCGTGCTGCCCCAGCTGCTGGACCACACCGCGTGAGCTCGCCCGCCCGCGCCGAGGTGGCCGCCACCGACGATCCACGCCGAGGAACACGGCGGTGCTGCTCTCGGCGCTGCGGCCAATGCTCGTCCCGCTGGGTGTTGCCCTCCTGCGCTCTCTCAAGGGGCCCGGGGGCACACAAAGTGAACACCCACAGCGACAACAGGCTTCCCCACATGCCCCCACAGACGTTCTGGGATTTCGTCTCCCCCCCAATTTCCCAGATTGTCCCATATATATATATATATATATATGTGTGTGCCCCGGAGGATCGACGATAACTGCTGTCCGTGCTGTTTCTCCCCTCCTGCGCCTCTTGCGCGACCCGGGGGCACAGCCCCGCGGCGGCGGGGCACTTTGACCGCGGGCGCGGGATCGGCGTGCTGCGGCCTGCCCGCACGCTCGCGGCGGCGTGCCCGCCGGGCTGCCGGCGCGCGGGCTCGCCTGCCCTCTCCTGCTTGTGGCCGCGTGCGCGTCGCCTGCCTGCGGCTGTGCGTGCGCGCCCGCCTTCCATATCCTGCACTGGCGCTCCGCTCGCACGTCGCTCCCTCCCAGTCGTGCTCACTTCTAAATCGTGATCGTTTCTGAGGGTGCTCGTTTCTGATCGTGCTCACTTCGAATCGTGCTCATCTCCAACTGTTCCTGGCCCCCTGGGTGGCCAGGGAGAGGCCCGGGATAGAACAGCCAGCAATGACAGGATCTTGCCCCCCCCAACGAAAACAAAGAACCCTCGAAGAACTAGCAATGAACAATGTGTACTTCTGTTTGAGCTTGTGCACGCCAGCCGTAATATTGTGTTTCACGCTGGCTGTAGCGACGGACATGGCGGTGAATACGCTGACGGCGAAGGTTTCGGCGGCGTCTACTGCAACAAGTAGCTGGCGACGATGGCAATGACGACGCATTATGCAAATTGTAATGATGAAGCTGGCGATGGTGACGATGAGGATGACGCCTGCGGTGCTGACGACAATGGCGGTGCCGATTCCCTTGCTGTTGATGCGGCTGGTTACGATGATGATGATGATGATGATGATGATGATGCTGATGATGATGATGATGATGATGATGATGATGATGATGAGAAAGATGAGGATGATTATGACGATCATGGTGACGATGTTGTTGATGGTGATGGTGGTGATGGTGACGATACGGAGGAGGGTACTGATGACGATGATGATGATGCTGATGATTCTGAAGATGATGATGCTGATGATGATGGAGATTATGACGATGATCATGATCATGATGACGAAAAATAATAACAGGATGATGACGACGCCAACCTTGGCTTGAGTAATGAAGCGCCAGACACGGCGACGACAACCAAGGGTGTCGATAAGCCAATGATGCTCAGACGGCGACGGTGGCGATTATGTATAAGATGACGGTAGCCATTCGCACACAAGCACACATCAAAACGGACATTCGCACCTCTGACTCGCCTTGGCTTCTGTGTATTGAAATGCTAGAACATTCTATGGGATTGAAAACGACTATTGCGAAAATAAGACTGCAAGAAGAAGGAGCCCATCAGACCCCACTGATACCATCCTACACAGACACTTTGGGGCCCTGCTCCACGGCCGCCGCCTCCACGCGGCGGCGGGTGCCTGGAGCATCCCGGAGCGAACTGTACAGCGCCGTCGGGCGGGGGAGACACGGGCCTCACTCCTCCGCAGCCGCCGCCTCCGGAGACGCGGAGGCCTCGTCGCCGGCGCTCCCGCCCTCGTCGCTGGCGCCCCCGTCCTCGTCGAGCTGCTGGGCGAGCTCCGCCAGCTCCGCCTCCCCCTCGGCGCGCGCGGCCGCACTTCTCAGGAGGCGCCGCTGGCCCGCGGCGTAGGTCGCCGCGGCGCGCTGCGTGGCACCTCTCGGAAGCACCGCTGCTTCCGCCTCGGGGCGACGAGATCGACCAGCAGGTACGCCGCCCCTGGCCAGGCCCATCCCGGGCCCAGGAGCGGTGCATGTTGACGTCGGGGAACGGGTGTGGCACCAAGGGGTGTGGCACCAGTCGTGGAAAGCACGACGCGATCCACGATAGATCGTGCCGCCAGAGCCCCCCTTGACATAACATTGGCGCCACACCCGTGTACACCACACTGCTTTCACACCTCCAGGGTGTACTTGAGCAAGGACCGACCGTCCCGGCATTCCTATAGTGGTACCACGAAATGTTGTTAGAACCCAGAAATGTTCTAAGAACAAAAAAACAGTGCTCTTAGAACATGAACCCGACGTGAGAAAACAAGACAGACTCCGCCAGAAATGTTCTAAGAACATTTCGTGGAAACCACAAAAGGTTCAACATTGTTTGGTAGGGCTATAGGCGAGCCAGGACGCTTCGCCACTGCTTGAACCTCCAGGGTGTACGCGCCCTCCTGGCCCGAATGGAGGGGGGCATACTTATGCACTGCCCCAGGGCCCAGCATGAGCCCGGCCAGGGGCCAGAGCTCTCTGCGCCCGGAGATCCCACATCGCGAACAAACACAACACCGCCAGACAATCACCACCAGCGCCACGGATACCATCCTTGTGCGGCATTCCTCGCGCCAGCTGGATCTGCGCATGCCCCATGGCCCGACACCGGCCGAAAACGACCCGTGCTCCACACATGCCACGCCCAGATCTCAGGGCCTCGGCGTTTTTCGGGCCAGAACTTGGGCCTGCCGTGGCCGTGCTGAACGAATCTGGCACTCCTGGACTGTGGGCCCTGGAAACGACAAGGCTGTTTTTTTACCGGTTCCGTTGTGCCGTTTTTTTGCTGGTTCCGTCGCCGTTTGTTCACCGGTTCCGTCGCCGCTGCTTAACTGGCTCCCGCTCCGGCTCCGATCATGGAGCCGTGTTTGTCCCGTTTCTGTTTGCCGTTTTCTTGCCATCTCCACTTTCAAGCAACACTTGTGCGGAAATGGTGGGAAAACGGCCCTGCCGTTTCCAGGGCCCACTAAGCCCCCGGAGCGCTGTCACTGAGGCGCAACCAAAGGAACGCATCCCGAGGCTCGGGAACCACCGAGAACCGGAGGCTCGAACGCCTCCGATTTCTCTACGCCCGACGCCTGCGCCCGCCGCATCCACCGGTAGTGGCCGCGCCGGCAGCGCTGCCGCCGCCTGCGCGACCGCACGGCCTGTGATGATCAGCAGAAGTACATGTGACCCTTCGGACGGAGACCTCAGTTAGGAGGGCCAAATCAACACTAGAGGCAGGGGATTGTTTTGTAGATGCATCCATCGATGCCACCCATGTGTTAACCTAAGGATACCCCTTAAATGACGAATTCATGATGCTACTATGACGGGCTTGGGATCGTACTATACTGTTACAACCTTGGGAAGTCTGTAGACCCCCTTCAATACGTAGTAACTAAATATTATTGGGCGGCCTTATTGAAGGACTGGGGTCCCACCGATAGGGGGTCCTACCGCCACGCAACAACGGCGACGACAGCTACGACTACGATTGCGACTGCGACTTCGACGACTACGCGTACTTCTGCCTCAGGAGCGCTCTCACGGAATATTCTAGCTGGGAAACTTGATCCTCAGAAACGATATCCTGAGGTCCTGGGAAGGATTAATGACGCTCAGGCCCCACGAGGGCATCTCAGAAACTCCATCTTCAGAAAGATTGTGGGCAACGCCTTCGGCGAAAAACGTGTCGATCTGTATTGCGTTCCTCTTACGAACGTGCTCGAAATTTCTCTAACGCGCAGGGTAGGGGGCATTGTTCCG